GTAATTATGTAATGGAAAATATCCATGAAAATCTTGTAACCGTAGTATTTCACAATATATTATCTAAATTAAAGGGAGACGCATACCAGGCCACTCGTTACCGAAAATTTGAAAACTGGTCAGAGCTTAAAAACCACCTTAGAAACGTTTTTGGGGCACCGCATTCGATTAATTACTTGCAATCGCAACTTAGTAATAGTCGACAACGATCCGACGAGGACGTACGTAGTTTTGCCGGTCGAACCGAAAAATGCTATCACGAATTGGTAGGAGCGTTAACATTAGGACTAGAACCAGCAGCAGCCGCAGCTGTAGCTTCATCGCATAAAGCATTGGCACTTACTGCATTTATTAACGGGGCGAAACCAGCAATTAGGTCATTTTTACGAGCACGCGCTGTATCATCTCTCGAGCAAGCCATTACTATCGCTATTGAGGAGGAACAAGACCTCCAACACATTAATAGACGTTTTAATTCAGAAAAAACTTACGGGAAAAATAACGCGAATAAAAAAAATATTAAGTGCAATAAATGCAGCAAAATGGGTCACTATGCAAACGAGTGCCGCAGTAACGCCGGTACCTCATACAGCACAAATTTTAGAAATCCCGTTAGCAGTCGTGACGATAAAACCAGTGTAGTAAAACACGAATATCAAGGTCAAGTTAGATTCTGCTCGTACTGTAAGAAAACAAACCACAATATAAAAGATTGTAGGAAGCGTATTTATAACGAGAGTAAAAAAACGAGTAACAAGGAAAGTGAAATTCTTAGTACCAGCCGTACAGTAAACGAAATCAACCAAAATCATGTAAGAGTTGTAGCAAATTTCGAAGAGGAACATATAATATGTGCATCGGATAATTTCAAACCTCATAAAATTAAATTACTAGTTGATTCCGGCGCGGAAATGAATCTTATTAAAATAACCGCGTTAGAGGGACACGTCGTAGTAAACGAATCCACGAAACGCACGATTAAAGGCATTAACGAAATTCCGATATTCACCGTAGGCACAATTCTAACCAGTATGGAAATTAACGATGTAGAGGTGCTTATTAAATTCGACGTCGTTTTTGGCGATTTCCCAATAAACGAGTCAGGCATCATAGGTCGTAACTTTTTAAAACAAAACAAAGTCATAATGGACTATAGCCGAAATTTATTAACGATACCCGAAAAAACTGGTTTCAAGGAAATTATACTACCGCCGCTTAGCAATTGTGTACTACTTATAAAAAACGACGAAAATATAAGTCACGAGAATATTACTATTAAAAAACAAGACGTAAACGAGAACGTAATAATCGCGAACAGCATAAGTTCGGTCAATAAAAATAACATTATTAGTAACGTAATAAATATTTCGGAAGAACCTTTTGTAATAGACGAGCTTACCACGCAACATATCGAGTGGGAGCCTTATACCGAAAATGTATTAACTGCATCGTTCGTAGATGAAAAAAAAACCGATCGTATAACACAGATCAAACGCGAAATTAAGACCGACGATTTAAATAAAGAGGAAAGCGAAAGTATCCTTGAACTATGCTGTAATTACGCGGACCTGTTTTACCTTCCGGGCGACTATTTAAGCGCCACGGAAATCGTGGCACACACTATAAACACGCCGCGTTGCACGAAACCCATTAATATACGACCGTATCGTTTGCCTTGGGCGTACTAAGAAGAAATCGAAAAACAAATTAAAGAAATGAAACATAACAATATTATACGCGATTCTAAATCACCTTTTAATTTTCCACTAGTAGTAGTGAAGAAGAAAAATCTAGATCCGACAGGGAAACCCAAATTACGAGTATGCGTAGATTTCAGAAAACTTAACGAAGTAACCGAGAACGAAGCTTATGGCCTCCCAAATTTACTAGAAATATTAGAATCTCTAGGATCATCCAAATATTTCAGTACATTAGATTTGGTGTCAAGTCGGTGGAGCTCACAGGCTTTGTACACGCATGGGGTAATGAAACCCTCAAGATTTATTTTGGGGAAAAAAGAAATCACTATTAATAAATTAAGATTAGAATAATTAGGTTGATGTATTTTACATGGACATACAAATAATTAATTAATTAATAACATTGTCATTTTTTAGATGATATAGTGAACAGTATAGGGGGGCGTATGGCAAACGCACAAAACATATATGGTAGCACATGGCAAATATAATAAAATGTAGGGAAAGAGAGAAAAAAAAACATAATTGGGATATTATAATATTAATAATTTACACATTGTTTGGGGTCAATGTCACCTGGCCCGGTCAGCTCCAGAGCAAGGCGGTCGGCGACCGGCCTGTGCCGTCTAAGCACGTTTTTTTAAAGGTGATCTATTAAGTTCAATTTATAATAACGGGGGGAACAAAGGGGAGGCAATTGATACGTTACGACGTGGATAGATCTTGTGGTACTCCGCAGATATGGGTGGGCTGGCTTGATGCCACCGACGCACACGTGGTCGGCATGGCCCACCTGGTCGTTGGAGAACAATTGTACGTAGTTGAGCCGAGGTAATGCTGTCTCGGGTGTTGAGGCCCCCACAGCCTGTTGGTGAAACGTTAGCCCATCATCGTATGGTTACACACCAGGGTAAAAACGAAGTTGAAAATGTCACGTTCAAAAAGGTTTTTCGATGGAGCGCAGGACACAGTTGAGCTGGGACGTGAAGACAAACGCACGTCGTGTTGCTTCAGAGGTCGGTAAAAAGGCAAGTGACCACAGGTGAGACGCAGCGTTCCGTGGGCCGCAACGGTCGATGTTGTGTAGGTTGTTGGGGGAATATACAATAATTTGAGGGAATATCAGTACAGACTGCCCTGCCGGCGCACACCGGCGGACACGACAGATGCGCCCAGCGGCACCGACCGACGGCCAGCAACGGCCGTTGGTGACGTGACACTGCAGATGGTGGGGATCGGGGATAGATGTTTATATAATATTGGTCGATTCACTGTACCAGCCTCGCGTGGGTAAATTGATATTATAAGAAAGAGAAATATAAATGGTTTATGACCATGGGGACAATATTAATATGGTGTCTAAATTCTGTGACCTAACACGCTATACAATAAAAAATACTTATGAAAACACGGAAGGAAATTGGAGAATAGACATTATGAACAAGGTCCATTTGATGGCAATAGAAGGCTCTTCGGGACCATTGAAACTACCAGAAAAAAATGTAATACCAAAAAATATTGTAAAGACACCAAAGCCAGATATTGAAGAATTAAAATAAAAAAAGTATTCAAGGTTTAAGTAATGTAAATTATTACAAAAATAAGTATGGTTTAATATTGTTTTGAAATATTTAAAAAAATAATACTGTGTCTAGGATTTCTCCTAATATTCATATGCAATTTTACTGTAATATCGTGTGTCAAAAATTATAGCAATAGGCTCATGGTCAAATTATTTTTTATTTCTGGTGGTTTATTCCAATGCTTTCTTACAAAAGTAAAAAAAAAAAAAAAAAATATGAGAGAAATTCATTTTAAGTATTTTTGTACATTATGATTTACGATTTATTTATAGTTTTGAAGAATGTAAATTGATAAACTAACCAACTATTATTATTACAATAATATTATATATTTCCAGTTTATTATTATTATTACTATTATTTTGTTTTAGTCTACTTTTGGATCAGTTGTTGTTCGTTATGGCGAGTGTAAAACAATACTTATAATAATAATAAATCAATTTAAATTGTTAACAATGTTTGTATAAGTACTTGTTATAATAACAATAATAATAATAAGTTAATAAATAATAATGGTTAATACGTAATAAAATACATTGTTTTGTTACTCATATGAACCAGATGTCATTCATCTTAAATAAATAATAGCATCGCATAGCATCATATCAAGTAGATAATAATTACATATTTAGAAAAATTATGTGAAAAACAAAGTATAGGAATCAATTTACTAAGAACAGTAAGAAGACACCCGATTAACAGGCACGCATGTACACTAGGGTGTTCCTTAGCTATAGATGATGGGAAAAAAATATCATAAAATGTTTGGTCTCACCCCCTAATATTGTGCCTATATGTACAAAAACGAACTACAAAAAGTTTTGGTTCGATCAGATAAGGTTAACCCGTGCCGACTTGTGATTTAAGTTTGAACTTACTACATTTTTCAATATTTACGAAAATTTTTAACATTTTCATAAATATTTCGTTAACCTTTAGAAATATCGATATTTTTAATATTACATATTTTAAAGTTAATTAAATTTGCTATAAATGTTATTTTATTACATTTTTTCATATCTCCAATGGTTCGTGAAGTATTTCGACTTGACTCCAAAAAAACACAATTTAGGTATTTTTTCATAATTATGAATTATTGTGCGGGCTAAAATAATTGTTACAAAACTCCCATATGAAATTTTCTATAAAGTTATTTTATGTATTTTTGCCTTCATATTATCGCTGGTAATATAATAATCACAATACAACATACTACGTGGCTTTAGAAAATGTTAAAGAAGATATTCTGAATTTTGTTAAAAGTAAATTAGAAACTAAACAGCCTCGTGGAGATTATCGTGAATTTTTGGAGTTAATATTTATTTTTATTGGCGGTAATTTGGAAAATAAAATTAAAATGCATCCTCCCGGAGCCATGCATCAAGCCCGGTGGATGGCACGAGCAATTTATTGCTTAAAAATATTTTTGTTTAGAAGCCAATACAATATTTCCGACTTAACAAAAAAAGCAATCGGTGAAATTTGTGTTTTTATTATTAAATTTTACGTCAAAGCTTGGTTTACTTGTCCATTGCCAAATAAGTCCCCAAATCAAGACTTATAATTTATAAAAGATATGAAATTATATGAAGTATTTGATAGAGAAATATCTAGAGTATAAATTCAAAAATTATGCAACCATTTGTGGTATTTAACTGAAGAGGCTGCTGCATTATCTTTCTTTGATGATTCTATACCACTAGAGGTAAAGCGTCAGATGGTAAAAGCCTTAAAAAAAAAAGCGACAAAATATCCGGCCAAACGATTGATAATTAAACCAAACCAAATAGATGATAAATTTATTGGTAAGTAAATAAACATTAAGTTTAAAAAATATATTGAATACGTTTAATAATTCATAAAATAAAAAATAAGCAATTTATTATATTTAATATTATAATTTTTACAGAAAAAATATTGACGCATTTATAACAGAAGAAAGCTTAAAACTATTTTCCCGATTTAACATTGATGACGGATTCTTAAAACATGATCCGACTTTTTGGGAATCTAGTGAAAGTTACATAAATGGTAAAAAAATTATTAATTCATTAAAAATAGTTAACGATACTGCAGAGAGAGCCGTGAAGTTGATGGAAGAATACAATTCTACACTCACATTAGATGAAGAACAAAAACAATTTATACTAAAATGTGTACAAGAACATCGGAAAATTTATCCAGATTGTAAAAAAAGCACCTTACAACAACAATATTAATTTTCATTATTCTATAGAATTTTTTTTTATGATAAAAATATTTCATTTTT